GAGTATGTATGAAATTTGGGAACCGATCGTGTTCAGTTGCCCTCAGTTTCCGCAGCACCAGTCGAACTTTCCATGCATAATGAGACTGAGAAAAGTTTGCTTGAAACATGTCTTCATATTCCTTGAGCCAACTTTCGAAAGTTCGTCCAGATTCAGCATCGAAACTGAATTCAGTAATCAAGCAGACAGCAGCATCTATGGAAGAAAACATAGGTTCAAACGTTTTTGTCGCGTTCACCGACATACTGCACATCAGAGCTTCTTCGAACTGCTTCTGTTGTTGCTGTAAAATTAATTGGAGTTGTTCTGCCGAAATTGATATCGTGGGTTCGGGTTGTCGCCAGTTACTGTAACTTGATGGATGATCGTACGACCCTGTATCGTCCCTTGGCTTCCTACTCCGCCCACTACGGTATGTCGAGAGGCACAGTAACTCTAGAAAGCACTTTATGGAGACAAAATGAGAATCGTTACGTCTGTATTTATAGAGTCGTCACAGAGTGCTCCACAAGGTCGTGGAAGAATGACCGTGAGGGAGCGAGAAGCGTCTAGTCAAAGATGCTCGATCCGGATTGGCTGGCATTCTGACCAATCAGAGCATGCCCTCGTTTGGTCCGTGTCCCGCACGTGACATCTGTCCAAGTGGTGTGATGTTCGGTTAGCAGCGGCTTTTGGCCTCTTAACACCTACCCAGCTCTACAGACGACGACAACTTCCATTTTAGTGTGAACCCTACAACTATTGCACGCGCTTCATATCCACATACAGCCATACCCGCTCACTTTGATCACTCATCTCCATCGGAATGTTGGTTGTCGTTTTTAGAATCAAGTGGTGTCGTGTCACTATACTAATAGGAACCACTTCTGGATGCCTTCTAGTTTAGACTACAATCCAATTACCAGTTTAAATCATCCTAGTAATACTTTCCCCATTTCGAGTCTCCAATTTAGATAAGGCTGTTTTACAGCCTCGCCTGAACGACTGCAGCAAGTCACGCTGCATCACCAATGAGCGAGAGGGTCGAGACATAAATGTAATAGTAATACCTATAATCCCTGTCTCTGAATGGTTCGCCTCAACCTGTCGTGCAACGTCTCGAAACTTTGTATGTATGTAGCTAGGTGTACAGCGATACCAACAATTAGATAGTAATAACTTTCCACCCATGCGCTTGAACAGGCCTAACGTCATTTCCCACCGGAGCTCTGGATGGTTTATAGAACGATTCTCACAGGATAAGTGATGGTATTCCAAATGTCCCAAATGTTCATGACACTTAAAGTGGCAAAAATATAGGTCGTCTGGCTGTGGCATTCTTTTTGTGAAGCACTCTGTCGTGAAACTCATGGTAAACATGGGTTCGAGCCACTGTCCGGGTGCCTAAACCCAGAGCGGGACATCCGATAAGTTGGCGCTGGGTTTGAACCACGGACCATTCGATCTATAGTTTCGTGCTTTAACTGAACGATTCGGAGCTCATCGAGAGTCCTTATATTTGCTTTCTTCAACAGGACCCTCACTCCTTGAGAAGATAAGGAGCGCCCCTCTGAAAAGGAAAACCGAATGGTTGACTCACGCTGAACTTGACAATTATTGCAGCTTAATCCCTTCTCATGAGCCGCCCGAAGGTAGTGAGCAGAATCTTACTTTACCGTCCGATAATCCGAACCATAATTGTGACTTTCCAATTTGGAACTTACTTCACATCCTTCCCCCCCAATAAAGGGAAATGCTTCTAGACTGCGTGAAGCGATTCATTTGATTAGAGAAAGATACCTTGAAACTCACTTACTTTATTTTTGTGCTCGCGCGAAATTGTCTTTTGTCCAGCAGATAATCGGGAATGAGCCAGCGCCCAGTTTTGAACTTTGTTATTAACGTACTGCTTCAAGTTCCCCTGACTGCCTCCGAAATTTCGGGGGTCATAATGCTCGCGGGATGTCCACTCACAGACATTGAATATGTGAACGATATTGCTCCTCTTGGTGCGGATCCTCCAAAAATCCAAATCGTTTTAAATAACCTAAATAATTCGGCCGCACGGTTCGGCATGTTCTTCCCACCTAC